TTTTTTTTTTTTTTTTTTTTTGCAGTTTCCTTTTTTATACTAGGTCTTATAACTCCAAATTTCAGATAAATTGTGTAATCTAAAATTCTAAATCCTTATATAGAAATACACCTTGGCTTTTTCTCCCAGTAAAGAGACTAAAAAAACTCTCCAGCAGAGAAAGACTTTGAGCTTATTTTTCAGACTTCCTTCTGTGTGTGTGTTCATTGTATGATATTCTGCTACATGTAGATTTCTGAAACCATCGGTGCTCAAGATACTGCAATTTGGAGCTTACATCTGAACTGCTGTGCCCCATCCCTCTCTTCTTTGAAGTTGCCACCACCCTATCTTCTAAGATCTTGCTCTTCAGAGTGTGGTCCCTGAACCACCTAAAAGCTTGTTAGAAATGTACAAGCAGAGAGACTCACACATGGCAAACTGAATCAGAATCTGAAATTAGCATATCCAGGTGATCCATAAACATTTTAAAATTTGAGACCGTTGTTCTAAACAAGGCTTCTGTTGGTTTGAGATGATTAATTTAGTAGAGGAGGAAACATCAGAAGCATTAAAATTATGCATATATAGAATATATGTATACATGCATTTATGTATCTATCTATCTATCTATGCAAATTTTTAATGCTTTACAGTGCTTCTCATATTTGGATTCTTGGTGTGGTACTGTAGGATCAGTATTATTCCCCAGTTCAAACCCACCAGCTGTTCCTTGGAAAGTCTATACAGGGTCACTGTTAATTGGAACCCACTTGGCCACACTTAACAACTAGATAGATGGATAGATAGATAATGTGGTGCTTTAGGATAAGCAATAGACCTCAAGGTTGATTTGAACCACAGTGTGACGGTTCAAACCTATCATCTGTTCCTCGGAATCCCTATACAGGTTTGCTATGAGTCAGAATAGACTTAACGGCACTTAATAACATCAACTTATGTATGGAGCATGGTAGCTCCATACACTGAACTCTGAACTGTGAACAATAAGGTCAGCAGTTTGAGCCCACCTACTGCTCCTGAAAAAAAGATGTAAAGCCTCAGAAACTCTATACAGGGTTACTATGAGTCTAAACTATCTCCAATGCATTTAACAACAACAGATGTGTGTGTGTGTGTGTGTGTGTGTGTGTGTGTGTGTGTGTTTGTGATCCTACATTCTCTGAGCACTAGAACCAACGTGTCTTTTTGTTGTTGTTTTTAATAATTCTGTAGGTGATTGTAGTATACACATCATATGAGAAAGGTATATGGTGCAAGGGATTTCAGAATTCTTTTTTATTCTTTTGTTTGAAATCACTTGGCAACCCTCCAGTATGCTGCCAGGCCAACAAACGTTTTCCATGGGATTGATCAGTTTTTCTCTGTGAGTAGGGCACGAATCCTTTTTTTTAAAGTAAATAAGTATTCACATGTATTCACAAAATCAATGTGTAATATGGCTATGTTTCTTAAATGTGTACCAACAGAAAATCAAGTACAAATGCTGTAGGATCATAGATCTCAAGTGAGCCGAAATGACAGCAAATTGACAAATGGCCTACAAGCATTGCAGTCTTAATTAAGAGCCGTCATTTAATGTGGGGTTTTCTTGCTTACAGCATGAGTGCCCCGCTGTGAGTTGGGTGCCACGTTTTTTGGAATTTGCCACATCTGTACTGCTGTGTGCCTTGCACTGTCTCATTTCTCTGACTACCTTTCTCAGTGGAGTCCTTGTAAAACCTCCATTCACACAGCTCACGGTGATGCCATTTGGCCTTCTCTACTCGCAGATACATCCAGATTCAGCCCATCTCTCTTCTAGTAGATCTCACCAGTTTAAGTCGTAATTCTTTTTGTCAATGTGATTAGAAGCACAAGCTCAAGAATAATAACATTCTATGCTAGTCCTTGGGAATACTCAGAAGATCATCACCTGAATATGCTTAACGTAAAGCTTTTGTAGAAGGGAAGAACACGTTAGGAAAAAACAATTGAAGACAACTTTGGACACGTAAGACTATTTCTGTGATCTTTTCCATTTTCAGCTTGCAGAGCGAGAAAGTTGGGGAATGATGCTTAGAAGCATGGCTTTGGAGAGAGAGAGACTTAGAATCTGATTCTAGTAGCTCCAGTTACTAGGTGTATACCCTTGGGCAAGTTTCTTACTGTCACTGTATTTTATTTCCTTATGGTTATAAAGGAGATGATTATGGTCTCTATCATAGTGTGAGGGATAGATACGATACCCCAGTGTTGTTTCTGTTGTTCAATGTCATCAAATCAGTTCTGACTCATAGTGACGCTGTATGGGATTTCCAAGGAGCAGCTGCTGAGTTTGCACCACTGACCTGGTGGTTCAAACCAACCTTATGGCCTATTGTTTGTCCTACTGTGGCATACCAGGATTAGTGTCGTTGCTGTTAAATGCTGTTCAGTAGGTTCCAATTTACAGCAATCCTGCATAGGGTTTCCATGGAGCAGCTGGTGGATCTGGACTACCAACCTTTTGTTCACAGTCCAGTGCTGATCCCATAGCACCGCAGCAGGAGCCAGGGCTAGTGTTAGTACATGATAGTGATCTCTGATAATTATCAGTAGCTAATGCTCCTGTCAAGGAGCTCTGATAGCGTAGTGGTTACGAATCGAGCTGCGAACCGCAAGGTCAGCAGTTTGAAACTACCAGCTGTTCTGCGGGAGAAAGATGAGGCTTTCTGTTCCCATAAAGATTTACAGCCTCGGAAACCCTGTACAGGGTCACTATGAGTCGGAACCAACTCCACGGCACTCAACAACAACAACAATTGCTCCTATCGGAGCCCTGGTGTGGCACTGTGGGATAAAGCACTGGACCACAAGGTCGGTTTGAGCCACACTTTGGCAGTTCAAACTTACCAGCCACTCCTTGAATTGGAACCAACAGGACGACACTTAACAACAGCAGCATAGCTCTTGTCACCCTTGTGTACTCTGCTCTGTACGGCAGCTACAGACAGCTTTAACAACTTCATCTATTTTCCAGTGTAGCTAATTTAGTGAGGGATTATCTCCCAGGACTGCTCTGGGGCTGGCCACTCCCAGAATGATGATGTGCTCAGAGATTGACCCTTGAACTTTTCATTTTCACTCACAAAGCCTGTAATGTATTGATGATTAAAAGTGAGGAAGATTGCTGAAAACTTAGGGAAATAGAGTATTTTATTTTATCATCAATATCTTCCCATGTGTATGTACCAGGGATTGAAAAAATCAAATTTCCATGTTTGAAAATGCACACTTCTAGGTCTCCGAGATATGCCAGGTAGAACCTTTGACTAGAAACCTTGTTTTTCATGCTGCTCTCTAGCTGCAGTTGGAATGTAGACTTGAGGCATAGGATGGAGGCAAGGAGGGGCAGAAGAGAGGGATGGAAGGCAGAAACAACCTACTGCAGTAAGAAGAAGGAAAAGGTAATTCATGAGTCAAACAAAGATTTATATATATATATATTATATATATATTTTAGTCTTACTTTGCATTTGTACATTGTTGATATAACCGTGAAGCTAATTCAATAATACATTAGGATGCAGGACCAACATCCTGAGTGTTCATAGTCCTTAAAGATAATCTAGGGGTCTCTTATAATAGATGAAGCTGATGGTAGTGTCTTCACCTGATTACAAGTCTATAATTACCTTTTATATTCTTTAAGTGTTCTTTGTAATCTCAGCTTCCAGATACAACAGCAGAAACTGTGTTTGACCCAACAAATTGTCTCATTCTGTGAAGCAACTATTGAAACAATTGTCAGAGGTGGTTTCATTTTGTACAAGGTTCAGCAGTGTTTGGGGGTGTAAACTGTGGGCAGTAAGTAACTATCCACACTTACTGAAAGAAGTGTCTACTTCAGTAAAAGAGTGGCTGGTGGGTTCGAACTGCTGACTTTTAGGTTACCAGTCCAGTGCTTATCCTGTAGCGCACTGCAACAGGGATCATAGGGACATTAGCCTGGTAAACACACACACAACTAAGATTTACCTATAAATTCTTTAGAGGACAAAAAGCCTGTGCTCTCTTGCCCTTGAGGATTGAGGCCAATAGGAAGAGGGGACAAATCGGCTCTTCTGGAAATAGCCATCAGAAGCTTGTGCTCTTAAAACAGTAGGTCAGAAACCGTCACAAAAGTGTCATGTTGGAAGATCTCAAGTGGCCAAGAGTGCTCAAGGCTGAGCTGTTCGTGCTGTTGCAAAGACTGAGGGGCTGCAGGCAGAGGGTAAAGTGTGTGTTAACAAGACTGAGCTCCGCTGAATGGTGAGACTCATCTCTTGACCTATTTTACCTGCCCTCTGGGCAGATGGAACTCTAGGTCCATAGATAGTAACTGTGGACAGACAGAAGCTGGAACAATGAAGTCATTCAGAAGATTGTCAGCGTCAGGAAAGCACTGCAGGAAACTTTCTGGTCTGTGGGAAGTTCCTGGCTTTGGAATCTAATGGATCAAGATTCATAACAGAGTCTACTTTGTGAGCAAATTACTTACCTTTTTGTGCTCCCCTATTATATGTAAAGAATAATACAGGGGAACTTTAAAAAAGTTTGTGGGAAAAGTCTATTTATTCCACTTTTCCATGAACTTTTTGAAGCTCCCTCATGTAAGAATTCTCAACTGTCACTGAGTTGTCGATTCTGACTCCTAGCGCCTCTTTGTAAGGTTTCGGAGACTGAAAATATTAACAGGGACAGAAAACCTCATCTTTTCTCCTGTGGAGTGACTGATAGATTTGAACTGCTGACCTTGCTGTTAGCAGTCTAGTGCTTATCCTATATTGTCACCAGGACTCCTTCGTATAATAATTAGTGTTGTTAAGTACTGTTGAATCAGTGCTGGCTCATAGTGACCCTATATCGGGATTCTGGGGAGCAACTGGTGAGTTTGAACTACTTACCTTGTGGTTAACATTTCAAACCCACTAGCCACTCCTTAGCAACCGTATAAAGGATTGCTATGAGTTAATGATACTCAAGGATAGATATTAATGACTAAATGAATACATGTGAAGTAGGAGCACAGTTCCAGATGCTCAGAAATGCTCTTTAATACCTTGGGAAAAGCTCCTTAGTTGCATAATTTTGGGTTTTGTACTTCTCCATGGTTAATTTTATTGAAGATATGTGGTAAAAGCAAAAGACTTGGTATACTAAGTATTTATAAAACCCTGCTCTTGATAAACAAAAACAATAAGTATTGTGATAATGTGTATATAAGAGACTTTATTTAGTTCATCGTGTGCTTAAAAATGAAAAAAACTGTTGTAATTATTGTTGTTAGGTGCCACTGAGTTGGTTCCTACTCATAGCAACCCTATGGATAACTGAACAAAACACCGCTGGATTCTGCACCCGTCCTCACAATTGTTGTTATGTTTGGGTCCACGGCAGCCACTGTGTCAATCCATCTCATTGTAGATCAAGCTGCCTTTGCAGTCCAGCTGACCTTGCAGGTCAAACCAACTTTGCAGTCCAGCACATTAACCTACAGTACCACACCAGGACTCCAAAGCAAGACTGGTGGTGGTGGTTGTATGCTGTGGAGTTGGTGCTGACTCATAGCGACTCTGTTTAGGGTTTCTAAGGCTATATATCTTTGCAGACACAGAAAGTCTCATCTTTCTCCCATGGAACAGCAAGTAGTTTCAAACTGCTGATCTTGAGATTAGCAGCCCAACTCTTAACCACTATACTACCAGATCTCCTCCCCACAGATGCAGTCAATTTTATTTCTGTGTATTTTATCTGGTGAGGTCCAGGTATATAGCTGTCATTTATGTTGTTGAAAAGGGTATTTGCAATGAATAAGTCGTTGATCTTTTGAAATTCCATCAGCGTCATTTCTGTCACCAAGGCCATGTTTTCCAGGTATTATTGATCTCTCCTCCTCTTTGTTTCTAACTTTCACATTCTAATTGATAGTAATTATCCATGCATCTTGCTTGCATGTTTAATCAACGTCAGACTGAAGAAGTTGGTAGAATTGTTGTATTTTATCATTGACTTTGGTGGCTGGTGTATAAATTTGAATAATAGTTGTATTAACTGTTCTTCCTTGTAGGAGTACAGAGATATTATCATAACACAGGTAGCATTATACTTCAGGATAGGTCTTGAAATGCTCTTTTTTTTATAATAAAAGCAGCACCATCTCACTTGAATTTGTCATTCTATGCATACATAGTAGGCCATATGAATGTCCAGTTCAGAATGACCAATATCTATCCATTTCAGCTCACTAAATTCTAAGATATTGATCTCATATGCTGCATTTCATTTTTTATGAATTCCAATTTGTGTAGATTTATACTTTGTACATTGCATGTTCTGATTATTAATAGATGCTTGCAACTGTTTCTCCTCAGTATGAGGCATGCCAGATCAGCAAGTGAACGTCTCAGAAGCTTTGTTCTATCTAGAACATTATGGTCAACTCGACTTTGAGGAGGCAGCTCTTTTTCAGTTGTATTTTGAGTGCCTTCCAACCTGAGGGGCTCATCTTTTGTCACTAAATAAGACAGTGTTTCACTGCTCTCCCTAAGGTTTCCAGTGGCTAATCTTTCAGAGGTGAATCACCAGTTGCTTTCTCTGGTCAGTTCTTAGTCTGGGAGCTCTACTAAAACCTGTCCACCATGGGTGACCATGCTGGCATTTGACACATCAAGTGCACAGATTCCAGAACCACAGCGACACACAAGCTGACTTACGATAAAAAATCTAGGAATTTATTATTATTATAAGTTTTGTAGTTATGACAACGTGCTATGGTTGCCCAACATTGGGGTGTTCTAATGTGAACTAGAATGAGAGACTCCAGGATCCGAGGATTATCGTCCTTGTGGCGTGTGCCCTGAATAGATGTGTTTGGAGTCTGTGTGTTTTCTGCGGCCAGTGTTTTATGATGAAGCTGAGGCACGACTACTGTGGTGTGGCTTCCTGGTTATGAAATCCCAGCTCTATGGCTCTCAACCCTTAGACCAGTCAGTTACTCACAGATAAGTGGGGATGGAAGCCTGAGCTAAAGATTAAATTACATAATGCAAGTACAAATTCAGCACAGTCTCTGGCTTATCCCTGGGAGGTACTGTGACTCACAAGGAAGAGTAGTCCGAATGGGGACCACCATGAAATGAGGAGTTAAGGAAGTAGCTTACATCTTCTGCATGTACGAGGGTGGTATAAAAAGGGCTTTGACAACTGTTAGCAACTTTGTGATGACTGTAATGTAGAAAAGGGAGTCTCACCAGGCAGCCTAACTTTAGACGTAGAACAAGGACCAGTAGATACAGATCGTAGGAAGATATGTTTGGATTTCATATGAAGACTATAATAACCATTGTTAGTGAGCGCTCTGGCATTCGAAGTAGCAGCAGCAGCAACAGTAGCAATAATAGTGATAACAGTAGTAACAGTAGTAACAGTACAGCAGCAGTAGTAACAGTAGTAGTAGTGGTGGCAACAGTAGTAACAGTAGTAGTAGTGGTGGTAACAGTAGTAACAGTAACAGTAGCAGCAGCAGCAGTAGTAATAGTAGTGGTGGTAATGGTAGTTACAGTAGCAGTAGCAGCAGCAGTAGTAACAGTAGCAGTAGTAGTAGTAGTAATAGTACTGGTGGTAACGGTAGTTACAGTAGCAGTAGCAGCAGTAGTAACAGTAACAGTAGTAGTAGTTGTGGTAATAGTAGTAACAGTAGTAGTAGTAGTGGTAACAGTAGTAACAGTAGCAGCAGCAGCAGTAGTAACAGTAACAGTGGTAGTAGTAGTGGTAACAGTAGTAACAGTACAGCAGCAGTAGTAACAGTAGTAGTAGTGGTGGTAACCGTAGTAACAGTAGCAGTAGTAGTGGTAACAGTAGTAACAGTAACAGTAGCAGCAGCAGCAGTAGTAATAGTAGTGGTGGTAACGGTAGTTACAGTAGCAGTAGCAGCAGTAGTAACAGTAACAGTAGTAGTAGTGGTGGTAACCATAGTAACAGTAGCAGTAGTGGTGGTAACAGTAGTAACAGTAGCAGCAGCAGCAGTAGTAGTAGTGGTGGTAACAGTAGTAACAGTAGCAGTAGCAGCAGTAGTAACAGTAGTAGTAGTAGTAGTAGTAGTAGTAGTAGCAGTAACAGTAGTAACAGTAGCAGTAGTAGTAGTGGTGGTAACAGTAGTAACAGTAGCAGTAGTAGTAGTAACATTCACAGTCACAATAGCAGTAGCAGGAGTAGTAACAATAGTAGTAGCAGTAATAGCAGCAGCAGCGTTAGTAGTAAGAGGAGCAATAGGAGCAGCAGTGTTGACAGTAGCAGCAGTAGCAGTAGTAGTAGTAGTAGTAGTAGTAGTACTAGCAGTCGTAGTAATAAGAGAAACTGGGGGTTGGGGTGGGGAAGCCAATGTAGCACTTAGAATTTCCCAGTTACTGCTCTTCCTTCTTAATCCTTATAGCAGTTATGCAACATGGGTACAGTTCTTAGCAGTCCCGTTTTACGGCTGAAATAAGAAAGCTGAAGCACAGAGATTAAACCAATACCTAAGGACAAATAATTTATTTCAAGCTAGGATCCAAGTACGGTCTGTCTGGCTCTTGTAGCCCCTTTGCACCACCACAGGCAGCGATTCACAAAGTCACAGGTAAAGGCTGAATGACTGCATGCCAGGAAAGTAAAGAAGGGAATCCTGCACTGAATTCTGGACTTCGCCAGGTGATCTCTACAGTCCCTTCTGTTTTAATACCAAAAAGCAGGTAAAAGACACAGTGGCAAAAGGTGATACAGAATCTAGGCACACATTGTCATGGGGTTTTCTCAGTGAAAAAATGCCCTAAGGTGCTCACCAGGAACCTGTTTACTTTCGCTTCATCACTAATTGACAATGAGTTGATTCTCACTGATGGTATCCCCAATGTGGTATAGCAGAGCTGTGCTCCTTAGGGTTATCGATGGCTGATTTTTTTTGAAGTCAGGTTTCTTCTGAGGCGCCACTAAGTGGACTCCAACCTCCAACATTTTAGTTATCTATTAAGCACATTGAGCATTTGTACCAACCAGGAACGCCCTTACTGGATTATAGTATTTTAGTATACTACAGAGTCCTGGTGTGATGCTGTAGGATAAACTCCCCAAGATCGGCTGTTCAAACCCATCAGCCACTTCGTGGACACCTTACACAGGGTCCCTAGGAGTTGGAACGGACTCAACAGCACTTAACAACATCAACAGAGGAAAAAGTTCTGACCTAGAATTTTGGTCGAGAACTCTTGCTACTGACTGTAATTTATTTTAATTTTAGTAAATTTCCAAAGATCTCACTTTTCACATCCATAAAGTGTAGGAGTTTGACCAAATTATCTGCTTCCTTTAGACTTGAACATTTCTTTAAAGCTATAAAATAGAATTATGCTTATTTCTGTCATGTAGATATCAGATGACAAAATGTCCAGGCAATATGGATTGATTCTGGGGCAAAGGTCATGAGTAAATCCTAAGGTATAAGGACTTGGAGTGAGACATTGGCTAAACAATGTAAGCAGTTTCATATTAGGAGACATCTTCTAGCTTTTAAAAATACATTTTAAAGTCGCCTAACAAAACCCATTCACGCTGGCTGTTTTGTGAATGTTTCTGTGGGAGGGGAAAGGGCAGTCAGGGTTTTGGTAGTGAGGCAAGAGCAATTAGCATAGAAGGCTGAATTAGCCCTGTTACTTTTAATTTTCCTCAATCTTTCAAAGTGTTAAAGGGAAAAATGCCATCTCTTGATTTATTGTTTATGAATATAGTTTATTCTCTGCGCATTTGTTTAGATGTATGCATGACTGAGAGGAAATCTGTTGCATTCAGTAAATTCAGTAAATTTCTGCATTCATTATTCATCCTTCCCATGGACTCTCCTACTTTGTTTTCAGACTTCACCATGTAGGCCTCAGATCCCTCTCTGGTTTGGTCTTGCTGTTTTTTCAAAGTGTCTTATACCTCGAGGTTGCAGGTTGAGTGGTGGTTTTAAAAAAGCAACTCATCTGCTAATCTGTAGTTCATTGTTGTTGTTGTTAAATGCTATCAAGTTGGGTAAAATTTTCTTACTTCTTTTACTTTTCCTCTTTGTCAGGTAAAGTAAACAAGGAAACAGCTCTGGGGAGGCACCTGGGTGCTCTGAAATAAAGAACTTGCTACACAAATAGGAATAGGTTAGGGAGCGCAGCTTCTAACCTGAAAGTTACAGGTTCAAGTTCACCCAAATGTGCCTCAAAGGTAGCTTGACAATCCAGGCCTGAAAAACCAGCCATTGAAAGCCCTATGAAGCATAACTCTACTTAGACACAGGTGGGACGCTGTGAGTCAGAAACAATTCAAATGCAACTGGTAATGAGATTGTAACCTTATAATGGAAAATTCTAATGACTAGAAGAAGATTTGCAATGTGTATGGTCAGCTTTAAAATGGTTTAAGGTATTGTGAGTCTTAAATATGCTTCAGATCTTTCATGTGGATGACATTAGAAAGCTTCCTACTGCTTTTTCTTCTTCGTTGTTGTTTTGCAATTCAAACCGACGTTGTAGTCTAGCGCATTAACTGCAGTTCCTTCCACACAAAGCAGGATCGTCTGTCACTCTCGCAACTGCACACTCCTGCAGCTGGAGCATGGCTACTTTCCTGGTAGACTCCACCTCCCAATAAATTGCATTTGTGGGATGTGGCTAGTGTATGGTAAACACAGTGTGGACAGGTCAATACTAGAGATAGACCACTTGCTCAGAGGAGACACAAACAAAATTGCCTTTCTGTTGGCTCTGAAATACTCTCTTTCAGCTTAGTTAGACAGAAAGTTAGAACAAAGCTAACGAAAGCTTCCAGACAACCTCTTCATTGTTTGGCTTCTGATAGGAAGGCCATAGGCAGAAATTTGTTTTCATGATTGAGTTCACAAATGCAGAGTCACAGTTGGACTTCCTTAGAAGTTGATCTAAGATCTCCATGTACAGAAAAATCCATTAGAATCAAGGTGATCATGTCAGAAACCCAGTGGGAATGATTCAGGTGTTAACATGCATGCCTGCTTCCTGTTCAGACAATTGGAATAATATAAACACCATATGTTGTTGTTAGTTGTCAATGAGTTGGTACTGACTCTTAGAGACCTTCTGTACAATAGAACGAACCACTACCTGGTTCACAATCGTTGCTAAGCTTGAGCCCATAGCTGCTGCCACTGTGCTGATCCATCTTGTTGAGGGTCTTGGTGATCTTCTACTTTTTTGCTGACCCTCCACTTTACCAAGCGTGGTTGATGTCCTTCTCCAGAGACTGTAGATAATATGGCCAAAGTATGAGAAATGACATCTGGCCGTCCTAGCTTCTAAGGAGTGTTCTGGGTGCACTTCTTCCAACACAGATCTGTTTGTTCTTTTGGTGGTCCATGCTACTTTTAATATTCTCCTCCAACACTATGACCCAAATACATCAATTCTTCTATGGTCTTCTTTATTCATTGTGTAAATTCACATGCATATGAGGCTACTGAATATACCATGGGTTGGGTTAAGTAGAGTTTAGTCCTCAAACTGGTATCTTTGCTCTTGTATACTTTAAAGAGGTCTTGGGCAGCAGATTTTCCTAATGTAATACCTTGTTTGATTTCTTGACTACTGTTTTCATGCAAGTAAAATTTTTCTAGAGATAATTCAGAAATGGCTGCTATAGTACATTGGCAGGGAACTGCCAGACATTCAGGCTAGATTCAGACGAGGATGTGGAGGGTTATCATTGTTGACGTCAGATGGATCGTGACTGAAAGCAGAGAATACCAAAAAGATGTTTACCGGTGCTTTATTGACTATGCAGAGGCTTTTGACTGTGTGGATCGTGACAAGTATTGTGGAGAATAAGTATTTTGGAACACTTAATTGTATTCACTAGGAACCTGTACATAGACCAAGAGGCAGCTGTTCTAACAAAACAAGGGAACACTAAATGTTTTAAAATTAGGAAAGTTATATGCCAGGGCCAGAATTGTATCATTTCACCAAACTTATTCAGTCTGTATGCTGAGGAAATAAATTGTGAGGCTGATTATACAAAGAAGAATGCGGCATCAGGAATGGAGGAAAACTCATTAACAGCCTACGATATGCAGATGATACAGCCTAGCTTGCTGAAAGCCTAGAGGAGTTAGGTTACTTTACTGGTGACAATCAAAGACCACTGCCTTTGACATGGGTTACACCTAAATGTAAAGAAAGAAACACCATAAAGTTATTTCCAAAACACACAGAGACTATCATATGGGTTCATGTAGATTAATGAATTGTTGTTAAGTACTGTGGAGTCACTTCTGACCCATGTTGTTGTTGTTGTTGTTGTTGTTGTTGTTGTTGTTGTAAGGAGCTCTGGTAGCGTAGTGGTTACGAATCGGGCTGTGAACCTCAGGGTCAGCAGTTCGAAACTACCAGCTGTTCCACGCAAGAAAGATGAGGCTTTCTGCTTCCGTAAAGATTTACAGCCTCCGAAACCCTGTTATGAGTTGGAACCGACTCCATGGCACATTACAACAACAACAACAACTGTGGAGTCACTTCTGACCCATAGCGACCTTGTATAGGGTTTTTAAGGAGTGGCCGGTGAGCTTGAACCACCGACCTTGCACTTCAAACCAACCTTGCAGTCCAGTGCATTAACCCACAGGGCCACACCAGGACTCCCTAATGAGTACTTGTTGTTTGTTGTTAAATGCCATCAAGTTGGTTCCAACCCATAGCGACCCTGTATAGGGTTTCCAAGGAGCAGCTGCTGAGCTTGAACCACTGACCCTGCAGTTCAAACAACTTTGAAGTCGAACATAAATCGAAAGAAATGTAAATATTGCAACAAATACTCTTCAAATATGTGATTAAAAAATATATGCAGGTAGATATAGAATTAAAGCTCACTTACTAATCTGTATAGAAATAGTCTCTAAGGATCCCAGGAAAAGAATGGATGCAAACCAATAATAATGGATAGATAACATGTACTAAGCATGTTCAGTGTGCCAGACACAAGCTTAGCATTTCATATATATTATGACATTTGAAACTCATATTACCTGTCTGAATTACAAAGTTTACTCCTCAGAGAGATTTATATAACTTGCATAATGTCCAAACCTACAAGAAGAAAAGTTGAAAATGGAGCCCAGATTTCTCTAATTCCTGAGCCAAGATCTTAATTGCTAAGTTATTACCATATTTCTGAGCCTTTTATATGAGGTAAAACCACCAAGTTCAGGGTTTAAATTATTCCTGCAGCATCTTTCTCTCCAAAGAGATACATCAAAATGAATCTCCCCCACAATATTTTTAGGATTACTTAGGTGAAAGTGTGCTTTGTGGAAAGAGAGA